ATGTATATATATGCTAAACGGACCTACGGGGTTAGTATTATGCTTATTTCAATTCCGCAAGGGTCGAGTTACAGACATGGTCCCAGAAGTAGCACGTTTCTAATAGAATGGGTCGCCGTATGTCTTTAAGAGGTGAACGAAGTTGTTTTAGCTTGTGTACATGCATCATGTCATTATAAAACACTGAAAAAAAGAATATTCCTTGTGTTTGTGTTATCGAGACGCAGTGCGTAGACATCCGCGACTGAGGGTAACGTATAGTTAGTTGGCCGTCACTGAATGAAAATTTCATCTATCAATGGGTCTTGTGCAGTGTGAATGGTCATTACCAAGCATAATCGCATCAGAAATTGACGTACGTATAATGGGTTATCAGGTGTTGTAAAAAACGGAGAGTAATTATTGGGGACAAGACAATATGGTTTTTGAACCCAGCTGTGGTAACTTTAGTGGTAATCAGGAAATCGTACGAATCATGCACGGCCATCATAGTTCCGCTGCAAAATTTAGAAGGTTTAGACTGCTCGTTAGGGAGATTAATGATTCGTTCTTTAGTCAAGAAGGTTAGGCAAGAGTTCAGATATCTCAAGGTTATTTAAAAATTATGTTGTAAAGTGTGTCGCGTCCACCTCATAGAGTGGTATACATTGACATTCTTAGGGAATCTTCAATTAAACATAATAATGTATTCATGTACGTAAATGTATTCATTGAGAAAAATAAAGGTTACTAATCAAAAGGGTGGATAAATCATGGATCATCCGCTTCTTGATTCTGATACGCATCAAATTCTGCTCTTGTAAAATGTTGTCGGGCAGTGTGATACATTAGTCGGGAGGTGTTTATCTTGTTTAACGTTCCATAAGAACCTTGAGTACTCCATGTCAAGTGCCGTTAGCCGCTTGTTGGCAGTTAATTTACGCATTTTGAAGTGCTTCTACAGGTATGATCGCTTGATGCACGCAGCTCTAATACCGACTTCGGTACCGCGTTTGACTGTTGAATGTAGCTAGCGGAAGCTACTGAAGAACTCCACTAGGACCCTTAAAGCTTTCGCCCTTATTGCACATGCCACGACGAATTTGATCCACGGCCTCAGCCGGCTTCTCATTTAATCATGGGCCATTCATTCATGCATGCCGTTGTACGAAGTAGAAATGCTGTTTTAGAATTCCTCCATGATTATCGTTTAATACATTTTTGGAACGCGGTTGCAGCTGATGTTGCTTGTGTACAACATATTGTGTACAAATAGTTCGTTTCAGCAGGTAGTTGTATGCCATGTAATTTTATTTTCCTTTCTATGCAACATTAATGTGAAACGATTACCTTGTTCGGGGTGTACCTTAGTTTGGCTAACACGGTTGCGGCGAAATCCGCGTCAACTACTCGGGTCTAAAGGTTCATTCTGTGGCGAATTATTGCGGCTCTACGTGATCATTTACCTCTGCATTGTTTGCAGCTCTCCGAGCTCTCTTCGCCTTGCAACTTCCTGAAGACCTCGGTTTTCGTCTTGGCATAATTGACCAACCGGGTAATCACGTTATAGACTGTATTACTGTCTAGCTTGGAGACCGGGCATGACACACAGCACAAGCTGAGAACAATGTTCCTCTTAACACAAGTGCAGAAAAGAAACGTATTGAACTGTGTCGTAGTAGCCGCAGTCCCAAGCGCAGCCTCTCGCACTCTATATCGTAGTATATTGTGGGAGCTTGTTATAGGCGGCGAGCTGTTCTAGATAGCCCATTCGGCATGTGATAGGTGTAAAGACGAATGTTCGGTCTAAGCAGCCTAGTATGTGTGGCATGGGCTCCGTATGACGCCCAGCTCTTCCCTTAAGGCACCCTAGCTACCAATAAAAAATCTGTGGTCAATCCATGTCTTTTAAAGGGTCCATTTGGGTTAGACAAACTCGCGGCACAAGAATTTTATTCTATAAAAAGATAAATAGATCTTGTTCGCGTTTGTCACAATTTCGCTAATGTTGGATTTACAGACGTGATTTTAGAAGCAACACATTTATAATAGACTAGGTAACCGCATATGTGAAATTGTTTTCGCTCAAACAGTATACGATGCGCGTGCACCAGGTCATTGCAGATCATTGCGAATAACAATATTACGAAGCCATGAACTATACTTTGAGATTTGAGGAGCGCATGCGACTAAGAGCAACGAATGGTTGACAGATTTGTCACAATTTTCTCTATAAGATAAGAACATCTTCCATCATTTGTCCTTGTGGTTTGTGAACGATCATAGTGAAATATGATTGTATAAGAAGTTGAAGTAAACTTACTATGATTTCAGTTGTTCTAAAAGACTGAAAATACTTCTCTGGGACGATCTAGGTTTCGAATCATCAGTGGTAACTTCTGAGGCAAAAGGATGATTGTTGATCAAATCATCAACCACAATTTTTGTTCAAGGTCTAAGCTCCCTATTAGGATGATCGGTGGACCTTTCTTTAATTACAAGGTGTGAGATAGGATACTTTAAGAGGAGAACTTCTATAGTCTGTATCATTTGTTACTTGATCAAACAACTGATATTTTTATTAGATTTTAAGGGACTATTTTGATGAAAATATTGTTGATATTTTGAACAATTCTAGGAAATTTTATGCATTTGTTTCAAAAATATCCATATGATTTTCCAGAATCCCGCTATCACACAATGTTGTCGGATAGTTTCATTATTAGCATTTTAGGAAATTTATTTCCACCATCTAATAAAAACTAAGTGTAGTCGGCGTGAGCCTCGTTTAGTCGAATATTAGTGGTCAAATTGCATGTCTCAGTTTTTGAGAACTATGTCGACCAAGTACTGTTGAAAGACTCCCCAGCCCATATTATGTGATTAAGCTCACCTTTACGACTTATGATTCAATATGCGTAGTATTACATTGGTTTCTTTTCGCTTTTGGTTTTGCTGAGCTTACGATTCCAATCGTCATTATATTATGAAAGCTGTAGTACGCATTGTACACGGTCGTACAATCGCTGTAACTCAGAAGTCATTTGTGATGTGTTCGTTTGCCTATTGTGATTATTTCGTTCGTTCATTATTCGGATAATAATAATAATATTAGCTTTGTCTGCTGCTTGCACATTACATCGTGCTCAATTGGTGCTCTTCGATCAAAGCCAATCGTACGTACGAATACGTGCATCGTGTAAATCTTTAGCATATTGTTAGGTGCCGTATAATTACTTCAAAATACTAGAGTTCTGAGCAATCTCATGATTGATCACAGTATTGTTGGTCACTAAGTTAGATGCACTATATAACGTGTAAGTTCACAAGTATTCCCCTTACTAAAATTAACTCATTAAAAATGGGGAACAGTAAAGAAGATTTTTAATTAAGTAGACAATCTGATAGATGATCTAATAGATAAATTAAAATATATGACTATTGATAGTCGTATAACCATAAAAATAACCAGTTACTTAAAGAATGCGTACTTTATTACGTAAAATTATTTCTTTATCAGTCAGATAAAAACACTATGCGGAAATCATATTACACAATCCAGCTTACTCTAATAACAAGATGCAGGCTAGTAATGCAATCTCTGAGTCGTATACGAATCATGACGTGATAACATGACTCGGCTCAAGTGCAACTATGGGCCCCAGAAATACTTGAATTGGTTCGATCTTAACACTGATGTTAATACTAAGGTAATGCACACGATTCAGCTCAGAAAGCAGGTGTGCAATACCTTTTTTGATCCTTGAAAATTAAACATACCCAATGCTTCAAACTTATACAAAAGCCGAATACTTTCAACAGATGAATGTTGCTGCAATGCATGTGAGACCTAGGTTTTAAGGAGCATTAATAGCGATACGGAGCGTAAAATTCGAAACATATAAAGGTCTTAAAGAGCGTACTGAGCTCTAAATGCAAGCTTCAAAATATAACTTCTTTTCTGACATATTTGATGTATAATAACGTACTTTTCGTTTCTCTATTTATTGGCAGCATGTATTTTTGCTAAGAGTCTGCAATAATTTATTCACCAACGCTAATCACGTTTGAATTGTCTGTTTCTAACTAAAGGAAAACTAAGTGAAACAAGTTATTTTAAAAATACCTTGGTGTTCAGCAACTTAGACTAATTTCTTATGAGGTTCTTCCGACATATCGGGATGTCGTAACGATAAGAACGAATTTAATACGTGCACATACGGTGAATGATAAACATTTAAAGGAATATGGTTTTAAGCAGTCTTACCTCATCTGCAAATCCTTGTGCCCTCCTAAATACCTGACCGCCATCAGCAGTAGGAGCACCTGTCAAGTAGTGGATTTCGATATCTGGGTAATCGATCGAAGTATTCGCGAACTTGGTGTTGATGAAAGCAATACCTTCCACTCCACCAAGCAAAGATAGCGGACCCTTGCCAACCGTAAGGAAAGTCATTACGTTTTTAAGCGTAAACGCGCGTTCATGAGTGACAGAAGAAGAACCCTTGACATGAAAATTTAATCCTCCTGTATAAATATGATCCTGGAGATTTTGACCGACTGGAAGATCAGCTATAACCTTTATCTGAAAGCATCGTAAGACAACAAAACTTTCTACGTATCAATACAGACAGCTGGAAATATTAGAATACATTTTTCTTAACAATCATATTACAATCATATTATTGCTAGATAATAGCTAACTAGGTAAGAGTGCAATGTACGTTCTATAAAGTAAAAAATTTTTGCGATCGTATGCAGTAAATATCATATTAACCGTACGTCATTTTATCAAGTAGTGTCTAAAGCATTTCTATAATACATTTGCATTTCGATTAACACAGTTGAAGACGTTTGCATAGAATATCCCAAAGTATGCATTAGGAAAGGTGTTGGTGCTAACTTTTAAATCTAGAATGTGAGCAGATAACAAGAAGTCTAAGATTTTAACCCTTTAAAGGGTCTCGTTATGCCTTAAGCACAAAAATTATTTACCCCTAAATGTGATAGATGGTGAGCTGGTCCGATTCCTGAAAGCATAAGCAGTTGTGGTGAGTTGATAGCCCCGGCGGAAAGAATGATCTCGCGTCGGGCATATGCAATGTGTGGCACTTTGAATCGCTCGAATTGAACGGCGCGGGCTCGCTTGTGCAGATCAAAATGAATCTGAAAAAAGAAAATGTTTAACCAAATATAACAACACTAAGAGTAAAGAAGATTGTTTCACTTTCGCATTACTTCTTGTCTGTGACATAGGAATGAGTGTCGTCCTGTGACTAAAAATAAAACTCGGATTTTCTAGCCGCAACTATGTTCTATCTTGATAGTGCATCCGATCTAAGCTAATCTACGAAGTTACATTATTTTTAATGTTTATTTCTAAACGTTAAGCGTCTATTTTAAAAGCATGATGTGCCAAAGCTTACAAGAGCCCTGACTACCTCATGAACTATTATTCGACTAAATAATTTAACGTTAAGTCAGATATTTTGCAGCTATATTAGAAAGCTGACGTTTCTCCTAATAGGGTTGTGGTTATTAAGCATCATTTAACTGTTTAGCATTATTAGAGTTATTATGATCCGGTTGGTTGCATTAATTCTCTACGAAAGCATACATACCGAGATATGACTATCACAGGTTCTTTAAAATGGTGAGGTAAAAAAGTAAACTCTATGATTGTGGGGTTTCCATTACATCTATACGTAACAGCATTTCTTATGGTTGATTAATGAACTATAGCAATCTGTACACAAATGTCTTCCGGTTTCATTTTTTTGAACTTTCTTTTCACTGAAATTTATATTTTATTATCTATGTCTCATATGTCTCATCTCAAACAATCAGACTACTATGAATTGAGCACAAATATCTAAATTCTGCTGAATTTTTATTAAATTGTTGATAAGTCTTAAAATTTGTATCGATCATGTCTTAATTTCAGATTTTGCAAAGCTAAGTTTTCGAATTTTCTTCCTAATGTTTAGTAGATCTCATAAAAATCATTACATAAAATTGGTCAAAGCGTAGATAAAACAAAAAAAAAGGCATTCAATTTGACATATTAATTTTTCATTAAACAAAACTTAAAACCAATGAGCTTGAAAAACAAAATTATATGTATTGCCAAGATCATGCTTGAACACCTAGAATTAGATGCGAGTGCACCTAGAATTAGAAGTACGGCCAAACGCAAGCTAAAAGTAGCCAACAAAACTCGCAGTTGAAAAAATATCGATACCAAAAAATGTATAAGGGAATTTTTGGTCAAAATCGTTATCGGATATACTGGATTGTAATCTCTTTTTCGATGTGAAAAAGAGAAATTAAAGTCGAGGCAGACGGTGAAAGAAATGAAGTGGGCGAGAAAAATCGTTTCGTATTCGACGCGTAGATATTAAAGAACATAGAACTTTACCACTTAGGATCTTTGAAAAATATGTTTGAATTCTTCTGAACTAATAGGGCAAGAATTAATTCTCCAGCTTTAATCTAAGCTATGAGATCATTGGAGTTGATGGGAAAAGCAAAATGACTATTTGAAGAACACATTCAACCTATTTTCAACAGCTATTTGCTGTACAGCCACCAAGGGCCTCGGGACATGTTAGATTCGTTACACTTGCGGCTATATCGGAGAAGTGTATGTCTCTGAAAAGTAATAAGTAACCTTTAGATTTAAGCTAGTATTATTGCGATTCAGTTGTTCTACTGCATATACACAGTCATGAGCAGGAACTAACTGTTGTTTTTTTATTTCCGAGCGCATAAAGAAAAAAAACAGGCTCTTTTGGCACTTAAATAGTAAGTTTCTAAATTTTTAGTTGTTTTTCTGAAAAAAAAGCTTATATTATTTTATTTTTTAATTCGTTTTTCAGTACTATGTTACTACTATATTAGGACTTGTAGTTTTACCTATTTTTATTCTGTCTGTTGAGTTTTACATGTGTATCTTAGAAGTCCCTTTGCTATTCGTATTTGTGTTTCAAATATAGGTTTCATTATGGGATCGTATTATATCGATATGGTTCGTAGTTTTCAATCTGCAACAAAAGTGCCACGACGCAAACGATGCAATACATCTTCATCTCGAATAACATCTCAAAATGAACTACGAATGCTGATTTCACATAGAAAATGGATTTGTATTGCTTGATTTTCGAGTAGCTTGTCGAGTTTATGACGCAGATTTTGGACAAAAAGGGATATTTTTTGCCGTTTTTTTGAGAAGACACGAAATGTAAATAAATATCGCATTTCTATTACACAAAATATTACTACCCATTTGGTTAAATAGCTGGAAATGCTTCCTTATTCCGGTCTCAGATAAGTTAATTTACATGGTCTATATACACTTTAAGAGATACATTCAATTCAACACATGTAATAGCTGCAGTATTTAGTCAAATACATTCGCGTACAGACCTATACCATAACTGTTGACGTGCGGCTATAGAAACGAGAGAATTCTTTTTACCTTTGTTGCGAGCGAATAGAGAGTGATGTGGAGATTTTTGCGGTGTCGAACAGGTTTCATAAAAGCTTTACTGGTGCTACAACGTGCACCTCTTCGAATAGTCCCCTGAGGAATCATAAAACCTGCAATATGATTTATATTTCATAATAAGATACGCTTTGTATATAACTTTTGATTTGCTCTTTTTTGTTTTACCGATATGGTTCATCTAGTTTCCATTAGGTCACTAGACATGTACGCATGTATAACTGCACATTATCGTTACTTTTTTAACGATTGCGCTGCATATTCAATAGCTGTAGCCTTATCATAACCGACATATTAGCTGGGATTAGGCTGATATACAAAATTCCTACTCATGAATTTCTAGGACGAAGTTTTCCAAAGTTGGGCAGCACTTTTTTATGTGTCAAAAGATACTATTTTTCTAAGAAATAAGCCTGAAACTTATGAGCAACTTGACAGGCACGGAGTTCATAACAAGAAAATTCGTAGGCTGCTAAATGTGGTACCGCAGCGTTACGCTTTTTGAACATGATCACTGTTAATTTAATTCTAAATAAACGCGGCAAGATTTAACTTCACTGGTGAAGTTGTGACAACTCAAGTGCTGTAGAAACGACGATAATTTATAAATTGTTTTTGCTTAAAAATGGTCAATCGATTTGAAGACCCGTCATAGTAACATGTGACACATAGGCAGCGTTGACTTCCATTGGATCTTTTAATCCTCACGTTGGCATACACGGAGACGATTGAACTAACAGTGCAGCAAATAGGTATCACGTCGCAGTACAATTGGATGAAAACTGGCATCAGTGTCCCATGGATCAATAACTAAATTGTTCGTCCTATACGAGGTCTTTTGGCTGTAAACTTTTTTTTTTAATTATTTTGTTATTTACAGGGTTTCCGAAGAAAGACAGCTGTAGCCCATAGATTAATATGTAGTAAAAGGCATAAAAATAGTACACTATTTTTAATAGGAGCTAACGCTAACAATGTATGCAATACTTCCAAAAAGTATGATGATCTGGAACATATGTTACACTACCGCAATAAGCGTGAGGGATAAAAGATAACATAATTGCAAAATGCAGATGAAATAAAGAAAAGGTATTGGCTCCCGCTTGAATTCACTGAATTTCTTGTAAAATTAACGATGCAAACAATTTTAATTTCATGAACCGAATTACTGGAAGCATGGAGCAGTTCAATCTACTAACATGTTCGTTTTGGCATGGACAGTGCCTGTCGGTTTGATAAAAAAAAAGGAGGAATATTAAACCATATGTATGCACACTGTTGCATATGAATAAATGTGATTCGGACGTAATATACATAGAGCTTAAGGTGTTTAGTTTGAGGCCTTTCGATTTGCAAATATCTGTTTAAAACCTCCAATTAAAATAGATCATCGATTTTGCTATTGAGGAGAATACTTATTGAATCACCTAAAATATATTTAAACTTTTTAAGAACTTATGCAAGCGAGCTTTATGCTACCCTTAAAATATTTTTTAAAATCAGGATTTCAGTGACAGCTATTATATCAGCTCTTTCCGTCACAATATTTTTTTTTTGAGACGTGTTGAGTGCACAGTAACCGAATAATCTTATGAAAAAAGACGGTGAAGGCAGCTATGATTTGTTTCATTTCTTTCAAACTTCTGTCACTAAAAACTTTAAAAACTAAAATCGACTCCAATGTATTGCCAATCATTTTAGAAGAGATCATGATGTCTACCATATACTAAAGCTTACACATCGTTTGGTTCTTGGTGCTTGGGCCGTGATGGCCCGATGTTTGTTTTACTGCTAACAGTGAAATTTATGAAGAAAATGACTTTGTATGTCGCTTTGGAAGCGTATCAATGCGTCAAAAACAATTCCTTGGTTAGGAAGGTGAGGATATGTGTGTGGAAAGAAAACCCTGCTCATTCAATCAATACTTTTTATCTTAGCAAGTTTAGCAATCAATAATTCTTATTCATTACGCGCGATTTGCATCACAGTGCAATATAATTATTTATTGTGGCTGGGTATCTGAAAGCATCTGCGTAAACCTAAGATTGTGTCCCATTCATGCAGGATGTAGGGTTACAATATGCATTTTTTTTCAACACAAACCAGCACTTTTGAAGAATGTGAAAGTTACTTAATTTTTCAGCTGGTTTCTTTATATGTAGGACAAGAAATGCTAGCAACCTTTACTTTAACTATACTACATGTTTGATACCAAAAAGTTTGGTATATTTTTTGCGAATTTATTAGAAAAGCCATCGTAGAAAGGCCCACAAGTATATATACATAAAAGTTTTTTGTTTTATTTAATATACTGAATGTGTTATATTTAAGGTTTCAGTCTTTTTACACATACATCTTTAAGGGTGCGTTAAATCGCACAGTGGGAGCTTTCACTTTATTTTCCAAATAATTCTGTTTTTGCTCTCTGTAAAGTGTATGTAAATTTTTGCAATCCGATATTCGCACAAAGGTCAAATACTTTAGTTGAATGGCTTTAGCGCTCTTCTAAATAAAACTCACTAATATTGCTTAATGCTTATTAGAAATACACTTGATAGTCAAACATGCTTTAACACACTTTATACTGTTAGTTTATGTACGTATAATACCTTGAATATTTTCGTATTGTTAGACTAAGTTTTACTAAATCATTGCCATTGTTTTATTCTACATAGCTCTTCTTTATAACTAAACAGGCTACCAATACAACTCATGTGCCTCGCTACATTTTCAGGTATCATTTCAGCTGCGTAGAAAAGACATTGTTTAGGTAAAAATAATGAGAACAACACGCTATAAGTTTTTTTCCAATTTAAGCTATTGTAAAGGTAGCTCTATGACATCAAGTTTTTACAACGTTTAATTATCTAAGAACGGTTAGTGAAAACAGATTTTTCCTAAATTTCATTACGGTAAAAAGCAGATCGGCAATAAAGAAAGCAAGAACACTGAAGAAGTCGTCGTATATCTTTCTTCTTAACAGATGGGCTGTTTTAGTTAATAAAACTATTTTCTTCGAAGCTCTAACACGAATTATACGATGAAGCATATTCAGTATAAATACGTATCACTTGGAGTCTATTTGTCCTATAACTAAATAGAGTACGGCCAAATAATTCAGGTAAGGACTAGTATTTTATACTTATCGTCATCTTCATGTTATCTGCATGGTCCGCATACTTAGCCAAGTTTAAATTACAATATTAATACACCTTCAGACTTAACTTTTGCTGATAAAAACAGAAACTATATAGTTTCCTCTTCCTCTCAAAGTGTAGTGAAGGGTTCTAAACTAAAGAGATCAATTAAATTAATTTTACGGCCTTTACGGATTAAAGCTGTCATACCCCATGGATTCTGTGTTAGAAATTGGATAAAATGGATACCACATTCAAGAAGTATCTTGAAACCATAGTTCCAAAATTGTATAAACAGTTAATAATGCTACAATAATGAATTGTAACTCTATCATAAGCAACTAATGGCATCCGGTGATTGAATTTTAAGGAAGAATGCCCGTCTAAAACAACAGCAAAAATCATACAATGCTTCAATCATTCTTTAAAATCGATGAGGAATTAGTCGATTAGGATCAGCCCAGTGAATTTTGATTCAGACTACACTTCAAAAAATCGACACCCAAAACAGGGCCTAAAACTCTATTTAACTGGCAAGACTATCAACTAAATAGGCAAACACTAAGTAACCTTATTCCTTGTTCAACTAAAGACGTTTGAAACATAGACCCGGGTGGCTGTCTTGGGGAATGGTTTTTCAGCTGCTCTGACTGATAGGGATCGTTTCCGCTGACTGATAGGGATAGATTTCACAAAAATTATCGAATCTGGGTGATACAAATGAAACAAAAGTTCTAGAGATGGGGAATACTCAGTTATTGGTCGCATACTTAGAGAAGAAATTAGATTCGGTTTTAGTTACATAAAATAGACACTCATATTTACCAACCAGAGAATATAAAGGCTCTTCAGTGCTTCGTCGGAAAAACAATCGTTCAATAAATGTATAATATTATATTTCAACTTTGTTTTTAGATCCGTTCCAGCTAGTTATGCAAACATATAGGGTACACGCAGACCTATAGCTTAGGCCTGGGGTCACTCAAGCTTACATAAAAGCTATATCAAAAGGTGTCATTCAAAGAATCTGCGTTTTATGTCAGCCACCAAGTATGTTTTCCTCGATGTAATCACACTTTTAGCGGGGGCGCGCTCAACTCTTTGTTCCATTGGTTGGCAAAATGTATCCGAATATAACTTAATACGCTATCGGTCCAGATCTAGAACGTTTTGCCAGAATAACGGTAACCGAAATAAAGAGCATAAACTCGCTCCTAATAAGAACAGATTGAAAAAAATTTATAAAGAATAAAATATCTAGTATAAATTTGAATCTGTTAAAAAGCTTTCCTGTTTATTTGTCTATTTATTATAACAAGGAACATTGATGCCGATTCTACATCATATTATTAATACTGCCTGCGTGTCGTACTCCATGATGCTATTCTAAAAACTGCTGATCGCATTAGATACAAACATTACACTACCATAGATTTAATGTATGTAATCAGAATGTATCTATTAACCAGAAGGAAATCTGCCATTCTTCAGAATAAATAACCTTTTTTATCCGTTTTTTGAATTAGGTAAACTACATTCAATCAGTAGAAATTGGTTGGTGAACGTGACATAGCAGTTTCACTGAGTGAGAACGAAACATAAGAAAGACAAATTTCTCAAAAAAATACCAATAAGGAGCTCCACTATATTTTGGCGCATTGATGTAAAAGTAGTACGTTTTCTCCTTTCTAGTTAGGTTAAATGCATCACATAGATGGAAATAGTCAAATAATTCTGTTTATGACGACATTTCTACATCGAGACTACAAAAGACATAGTCTACATCGAGTCACCTTAAGCTGCTCTATCTAATGGGTTTTACCGTTCTTTTTGACACCATTTTTGCGGAAGACCTCGTTAGATTTGGAAAAGAGAATCGTCATAAAAATCGGAGCTGAGAAAGCGAAGGTTTAGTGAAACGTTCGTCTCTGTAAGTGAAAATAGCTTGGAGCTTCTAAATGTAGTTTTCGATTGCGAGCCCGGAACGATGAGCACTGCAGTACCAATAAAAGTAAAGGATACGACACCACATCTTTAACTGCGTATACCGTCGTCGCAACAACGTCAACCACTGTATCCCGTTCACACGTCCTGTGCTCTGCTAACAATGGCAAACCGAGAAGTCGAGTTGTTGGCATTCAATTTTAGGAAAAATGAAGAGCAACTACACGGCAGCAGTAGAAGTATGCACTCGACTAGGCGAATAGCTATTTGGCGATGAAAGACACAACGTTTTTATGAAAAAATTATCCTGGTCACTACCTCAGATGTGGCTAGAATTTTCATTTGCAAAAGCGGTGAATAAACGCTTGCGTCCTACGTTGAAGCCACGCGTATTATTCAGAATTCAACTAGATATCCGTTTGCTGATAATGTCAACTTAATGAACAGGGAGAAAAATCAACAGAATATAAAAACAGCCAGCTGTGATGCTGATGCGACTTATCGCTTCAGATTTATCACCGTTGCCTGACCGGCCTCAACCGATGCAAAGAAACCACTTCGTTGTAATTCCCAAAAATAGTTCAGCAGTTACCATGTTCCCAGTTCCTTCATACAGCATAAATGTCTCTGTCGTAAGTGTATCTGAAACTAGTATCGAAGTATGCATACAATCGTTGCATTCTGTTTCAACCTAAAATGGATCAATTTCTACGATTGGCGGGAACGTATATCTAATTACACTTCTGAGAACGTTGTGGTTCCTTAACAACATCAAATGCCTCTAAAGAAGTACGGTACCTTTAAGTTAACCAAGTATCGTCCGTGATTGTACTATAGCTGAAATAAATATTTGTTTATTATGGTGCTATTGATACAAAAAAAAGTAGCTTCTGCAGCCTATAAACATTTAATATTATTTGGTATATTTTTATCGGTATATCTCTCGTTCTGTAATAGAATTATTACTGTATCTAGATATAATTTGTATTAAAGTATGTAAAACTTCACAGTTCTATAGATTATACCGAGCTTCAATCTAACTGAGCAAATTAATCACCTAAGTGTACAACGCATACGTCTTCCTGGGCGCTTGGGTTAGTATAAGGGTTTGGTTACACGAAGTTCACTCGCTACAAAACGTTCATAGGTCTGGTGACTATCACGCCCGAGAAAACTTGGGAACGCTGCCAACATAAGACGTACCAGGGCCGAGTGGTTGATGTCACTGTATGTGACTTTTTGATTACAAATAAGCGTGGTATATCTTAATGAATCAGGGATTTCAGGATCAGCTTTGTATTTTTGATCATGAAGCTTTCATTTCACTAGCACGTGTTTTTCGCTACAACGCGAAAATATAGAATAATCAAAATCGTAAGAGTTGCTCTCAGAATTTGGACGCTCTTGTACAAACTTAATTTACCTGTTAAAACAGTAACAGCCAACATTCATGAATATACCAATTATTTTACAAAATAAAATTAAAAAATCGTGGTAATAATACTTGATTGCACCTATTAAAATATTACCATTAAGAATGAGTTGATAAGGAACACTGAACGTTGTTGTAACTAATACCCGTTATTATTATTCTCAGATATCCCAAAATAACTGAACAGGCAAGCGTGTAGTAGATAGAAAAACTAGAATAGAAGCTAGATTGGAAACTGGTTTCGGAATATTTGATTAATATGTTAAAAAAAAAATACTGAAAATATCCACGTCAAACTTCAATGGAAACGACTGTCTGCTTGTAACGTTACATAATCCGGTAGATCTATCGTTATATAATATTAAATTCATAACAAGGATATAATTGCCTGTATGAATCTGAACAACATTTACGTTACCACTATTTGACTTCCGTTATTTGAAAACAGAAAATTGCCTTTCTGTGTGGAGACATCTTTGCATTCGGATCTAATAAATAAAATCCCTGGGCAATAGGATTTACGTACGAAAAAGCTCATTGTTACAAACTCGCCCGAAATACATTATTGGTTCATTAAGAAATTTTGTAAATATTTCTTTCTGTTATTTCAATTATGTACTTGGTGGTTTCATTCATTTAAACTGCTCATTTATAGAATTCAGCTGTCATATCATACGAGCCATTGTTTAATACTTCCTTCTGGAGGCAATTACAATGAACGAATAAAGAAAAGACGATTTGCACTATGATCGCAAGTGCGCCAGCAATCAGAGGGTGTAAGCTGGTCTCGATTTTCGGATTATATTACGACCACATTAAAGTGGAGCCACACGCACTGGTACTACTCGTTCAATGACACTGATGTAATTATTAGATGTATGTTTAGTAAAGAAAAATGGAGCGATTTTTTGCAATGAAAGTATCAGATTTTATTATTAGATTATAGCAGGCTCCTTGGTCGAATTGATTTATTCACCAAGATATCTGCACTCAAGCGGACTCCAGTTGATCTTCCACCACTTAAGACAGCTATTCACCAGTGACTCGTGTCAGAAAGCTGGCTAGGATCGTCTGATGTTAGTATAAAAGATGCTTTATATCTGAAGCTACGCTGACGTCAGAACAAACACCGCTGCTTAGAAAAAGCGGGACGTTTTATATGATTACTAAGTATTATTAAGCCGGCTTCGCAGGTTTTATTTACGCACTAACGATAAAAATGATGAATGAAGAAGTGGTATGGTATTGTTGTCATGGGTGCTGTTATAAGGTCAGTGCACTTACAATTAGTTCCTGACCTAAAAATACAATAATTTTTTATCTGACTAAAAATTGAAGAAGTCCAAAATTACAGCCAGAACGATACATAAGCTGCAAATTTTTTATGCCAGGGCTCTGTAGCATGCAGCGTGGAGATTGCTAACATAGACTGGCAAACGGATGCAGAAGAAGGTTATCAACGTAAATTGCTTGCCTTTTTGGGATTTGGTTACAGTTATGAGGTATGTTAAAATGACTCCCAACTAAAATAGCTGACCCCAGTAGCATCTTACGCTTCAGAAATTAGGGTATCACATTCAGTTAGCATACGGTATCCAGGCGCAGTGCGTTTCACCAGACACGACAAAAACCGGCTTCTAGTACCAGATAAATCCGCGATTAAATTTTAGAAGTGTCGACGCCTTCAGCAATCGATTGTGAATTTATCTTAATTTGATTCGAGCCAAAATATACTAAATATCTACGTTTAGCATGCCGTCGAGATCCACCCTTTAATGAGCTGAAGGCAACGATGCCGTATGCCCTATCCATCACCTATTTTTATTCAAAAATTACTGATCATGCTCCCAAATGATTTCGTCAACCGTAGAGAGATCAGACCTCAGACGGGATTCTGCACAACCAAGCTGTATTTTATACAGATAAAGAGGAGGTCTCATTCATTTGTTATACAAATTAGAATATCAAAGTCAAGATTAAAACAAGAAGTTAATTTCAGCACCCAAGCACTTAAAACCAAAAACCTCACTATGCGTCCACATTCATGAGTGAGGTAATTGCCGCCACAGAGACTGCTCCAAAAATCTGGGATAACTGACGTTTTTCAGCTAACTATTGTTTCGTGTTCTAGTAATACACAATTCTTAAATAATGAAAGGGATCATAAAAAATTTGAAAAGTTCCAGCATTTTAGCCAGGAATGAGACACTATTCGATTTGCAAATCTCAAATATAACACTTTGTTAAAAATTACATTAATTTATCAAATTTACTTAATGTTATTAATTGTTTTATATACTGTAAAATCAGTGGGGTGTTGTTAAGAAAGAAAAGAAGTAAGTAGATAATTAAGAAGTATACGTTTTGCAACACAGCAGAAGTAGAAGGTTGATAGTAGTAGTGGTTTAGTGTCACAGAAGTACAATACCTTTGAGTCTAGACAAGCGGACTATAAAGAGGTGCTTCCCACAGAAGCCGATCTGAGAGTGTCTCAGGTTAGTCTTAAGTAATTGCACTCAACTTCTTCTGTGATAGGCAAACTCGATGTCCTCTAGGTTAGAATTATAGTGTTTTACTTAGTGCTGGAATGAGCTTATCAAATTATGCATAAAAACGGTAGTATTAAAAAAGCTACCTGTTTTTTTTTGCTGTATCCGTGTATGCTTTTGTTGGATCACATTTAAGATTAGCTTTTTTAGTCTGATTTAACCTCATGTCATATATTAGATTTGGTGTAGTTACTTACCGGACATTGTAGGCCCGTTTACATCGACATTAGGATACCCCATCTGGATGCCGGCTTGAATAAACGCTCTGCCCAAGGGAGTGGAGTAAGGTGGAGTGGAGACTGTCATATAGCCACCTGTCGCGTGATAACCTGAAATCGAGATATATATTATATAACCCATTCTCAAATCTTTACTACAGTTATAAATTCTTTTGCAGCTACTTCCATGTGTTCTAATTTTATGACCAAAAAGTTAAAACAAAATGTGCTATAAGCAATGAGTTTTTACCATTTTATTATTTTTGTAACAAAACATGTTTATGTTTTCTTTTACTGAAAGAAACATCATCTAATTTGTAATCGTAAATTTACAAATCGGATAAGCTTCAACACCGACCTAACACGAACAAGCAAAAAGTACTACGAAATTCTCTGTACCGTTTTTAAGGAAGACTGGGTCTCGATTGTCCTCCGATTTTAAGAAGTATGGGAAGACCTCTTTCCAACTCCAACCATAGTTTCCATAATGTGACCAAGTATCATAGTCATGAGGACTTGCACGAACATACAGCATATAGTTGAGTACACTTGAACCACCCAAGACTTTACCTCGTGGCCACAGGCTCCGCTGAAATGCATTATTATTAGCTTCTTCCCTCTCAAATAGGTTTTAAGCAGGTTCTTTTCTAAAAAATAGCTTAGCGGTCAGACGAAACTTGAAAGCTATGCATCGCAAACACTCAGCTTTTGAAAGAACACAACCTTTAGGCTAATTGAATGCTTAGCACGAATTTGCTGAAATAAACTATACTTTTGTTTCGAAAATGAACTGAAATACCTATGACTTCACACCGGATCAGATTAACGTGTTTAGAAGCTTGTGGTGGCTTTTGGCTGAAATGAAGGAAGTATTCGTTTGAAGTAGCCGCTGGCTGAGATCAGTATTTTTGGTTGTGCAATTGCTACCAATAAACTGTGACAAAAATTGCATCTCTCACAGCTCTGAATTGGATGACAACATTGGGTACGAAAGTGGACTACTAAAAGATACTATTTATGTTTTTACAACCAATCTATGTGGTAGTAATTACCAAGTTTATGATAAATAATCAACAAAAAAAGCGCCTGCAATGCTTTTTTACCAACAAACTACAGATCAGTTAGTCTGTGTGAGTTTTCTGATAAAACTAGTCAGTCATGATTTCCATAAAATGAAACTGCGGTTGAACGCTATTACCAAATAACCAAGGGTCTACTGCCACTACGATATTTTCTATACATAACAGAATCTTTGTAAGATCTTGGGTATTAATAAGAAATTGACTTTTCTTAGCACTCGAATGTTTTGAAGACACTTATGGAAAAGTATTATACTAGAGAAAATGCACAGTGTGACTATTTCATGCAATTGCTACAGTTAACAAATCGAGCATCCTAATATTTAATGATGACATCAGTCTTCGCATTTCACTGAAGTTAACAATATTTTAAACAAAACATAATTTGTTCAAAGAAGAAAAATACAAAAATTAGGTTTAGTACCGCAAATTATAAGTATACAGCTATATTTTCGCTTCAGACTTCGATTTGCAAGTAACAGTTACCTTGATTCGTTGAGTTCAACAGTTATTAATACCTAAAATCTGTTACAGTAGCTTCCCGTTGGTAATAAGGTTAGAAAAGATTGTTAAGAATAATTGTGGAAGTAGTTAAATATTAGGTAAAGAATATGGTAAAGCAGTCTTAGCAGGACGTCAAAGGCTTATATATACTTTCTTTGATGTTAGCGATTGGAATCGGTTAAAAGCGCGCTATTTGACATATCTTGCTAAACAAAATACGTGTCGACTATTCTGAATCAATGTAATATTTCATCTGAAGATATAGATACTCAATCAACATATATCACTCTGTTCATCTTTCTCCACAATTTATTTCACCATCGTTCGCATTAGAACACGATTGTCACCGACGCTACTATATTTATTAGGTCGCCATTGTTTTGACTAATTTCACACGCTTTACAAACTTAACATTTTAGTACAGTCAACATATTTACAAACTTTTCATATGGTCTGCCACGTCATGTTCTGATGCCCCCTAAATAGTACAAAGGGTTTCTGCCTAACCCTTCTTGTAGCTCTCCTTAATGAAGGTTTGCGCTCCTTCATAGCGTAACTTCCATATGTTTCCCTTTACCATTCTCCTGGAATGTTATTTTTAACATTTATGTGTCTTGGATACTTGCATATGGAGCGTTTTGAGAGAACTAGAAGATTAAACGAAAAAGAAGAAGGGCGAACGGGCTGATGGCAAAAAAGGAGGATTTAGATGTAGGGCAACCTTATTTTTTTATCTTTAATTATTGTTTTCGCATATTGTTATCTCCAGTTTATGTTGTCAAATGAACGGTACACACTCGATGCTACTCCATGCCTATAATGAAAAAGACGATTAGCTAATATGTATAAAACCTTGGCTTCGATTGGAATAAAATGATCCTTTCCGTTTTCGTTTTATATTTAATTACTTTTGGTTTTTATTTAATTAGTCGTCATAGTGTTTTGTACGCTCAGCCCCGTGCAATTGGCTCTGTTATATTCTAATTTACTTTTGTTTGGACCATACATCATAGTGTCATCTATTAAATCTCTGTTCAAACTATAATGTTTGTTTTTTTGATCGATAATACCTTAATATAACTTAGAGGCACAGCTCTAACTCTAACATGCATATACCACTTTTTTGCTTATTGTTTGACCCTTTTAAAATATATAAAAATCCTATTTCATGTATCTAGTCGCACACCTTGTTTTTGACATATCGTTTATTCGACACCTCCGATCTCTCCACAATAGTTGGGTCATAGTGTACCCTCTTTACTTATTGTGCCAAATGTGTCTTGTGATTTGGTTGGATTAAACTAACACTTTTTCTGGCTTTTTCGCTCCATTTAGCTAATGTAGTGTATTATTCCAATGTTCATTTTTTATAAGCGTTATATTTTGTGCTGTACATTACAAGTGAAATGCAATCTTGATCTCAGAATTGAACGCGTACACGTCTTTAAATAAAAGTGACCCTTTGTCCCACACACACATTGTAATTCCATGTAATCTAATGTTTATATTCCTTTTTTTTAGGGATTTATGCTCCCAAGTTTGTTCATATTTCATTAAAATGTATTGATTAATTAGCAATTGATTCTTTCATAACTCAATTTTTTTAGGCCGCCGATTAGTCACTATACAAAGAAAACAAGAAACATGTAGGTGCTTATGTGAAAACGCTTCATATCTGCAAACGCTTTGAAAAATGCAGGCCAAAGTCTGCTGAACTGATTTCTCATCCGTTCACAATAATTTCATATACCTATTATTTTTTGAGATACGTTTTTGGTACTTCTGTCATTCAGGTTTCTATTCTTATCCCCAATCGTTCAAATATCATTTGGCAACGTATGAAGGTCCTATTGCATGCGCATAAGTATTAACTATAATTTCTTTAACGCGTTCTATAATCCTGTATTCATCTTGTTTTCTTTTTTTTTTTTCTATTTTTTCTTCCTATTTTTATATACTTCATTTTGGTTTCCCAGTACTATTAATTTTTCTATTTTACTTCGGTTTCCTATACGAATACAAAGCAAAATTAGCATGTGCAGTAGAGCACACTAATTAAACGTTTATTCTGTAAACCAAGCTTAATCCGTATGTCAAGTTATACTAGTCTCCAAAGACCAAAGGTAGGGTTCAATTACGCAACATAAATTTTGGCACAACAAAAACGTAAGGGATCACAGATTCAGGTGAGTTGACACTTGATGTAATAGGGGTGGTTTAAACATGAAAAAAGAGAACGGCTCGTTCTTAAAGGATGGTATTAAATGGACGTGACAAATTAATGAAGAAACAAGCAAAAGGAATAGCTACATTATTTTTGATTAAATTTTTAATTTGAGTGCTACACCATGGCAAGTAGTCCTTTTTCTACACGAATACCTGTATATATATTATAGATAGAATTAGTTGGGTGTATTAAGTGACTGATTAAGGGCAAAAATAAGAGAAAGGAAACGTTGAGAAAACCAATGAATCTACTCGATTCTATGCTAGCCAATAAGTTCTGCAACATAATTTTCTTGCGCTACAGTGTGTGATCTGTTTACCTTACGCATCTCTTATGACTGGTCTGCGCCACTACGGTGTGCATGACCTAAACTATTAAAAAAAAATTTTGCAGAATTTGTGTTAAATATGTTACTAACGCCAGAAAGTTTGAGATGTATATTTATGATACGTACACGGTCGCTGAAGCCGAAGCAAGAGGCGTCCTGTGGTTCAGTAACGTACTGCCAATCAAGTGGTGACAACTGGAGCGTCGCGGCAATCAAAGGAATGTCTGATACCTCGTTTTCTATGCCACCGGCCTCGACGAGAAGCACGGAGGCGCTCTGATCCTCAGATAAGCGATTTGCCAAAGCAGCTCCAGCAGAACCGCCACCCACTGTAAGACCACAAATCAAGAATTTTACTAAATTGAAGAGACACAACAGCATTATTATAAACAAAGACAGCGTCAAGAATAGGTTTGTTGATAGCGGTCATTGATAGGTAACAAAAGAACCGCAACTCCAAATTTCTCAATCCGGGCGAAGATATTATAGTATTGTAATACTGTTTCGATTATATATTATTATATCGAATGTTTAGTTTCAACTATAGCACCTACTTCGCCTCGATTTATGTATGTGAAATAGCGTGCGTATTTGAACTCAAATGACGAAAGTGAGCTACCAGGAACGTATCAACATATTTGCCATTTCTCCTGCGGACTTTTGCTTTTTTCGTTTTGTTTGCCGTCTATCATTTTAGCGACGACTACCTGGTTGACCCCCTTCGCTTAACCTTCTATCGGATCTACGGAACACAACGATCCTTCAGCTTCCTCAATTAGATACAACTGTGCTTACGTGTAGTACTTTCCAACGTTCATCAGAGGAATCACCACTAGCAACAGCACCATCAGTCGTAAGCAGCAATATAACATCTAAAGCTGTATTTTATTCTTATCTCTAAATTTCCTTTCCTGTTAACGGACAATCTTTGTTAACATTTGAGCTTTGACGTTATTGCTGATACGGCGAACGAGAACAAAGTTAAGCATGACTATAGAAAATATTTTATATAACTAAGTGTGACAATTAGGTGATTGTAATCATTGCAAATAATTGCGTTTGCAACTGTCGAGTTGTGGTAATTCCATATAGACGTTTTTAAATTATTTAACATTTATATGGTAATCGACACTTCCTTTTGTGGTTAACTTTAAAGGTTGGAATTTATTAGTTAGAATTAGTTTGAACTAATTTTCCAGTGAGTCACCAACGTATATTGAACACTGCTTCGGTTCGATTCAGTTTAAAAATGCTTTATTAACAGACGTGGACACAGCGCAGATAAAACTACCACATCAATATTTCAAGAACTTCATGTCCTATTGTTTACGATAATCAAAAAGTGGTGCCTGGGCTTACACAAAAGACAAGGCAGCATCTGGTTCAAGTATATTCAAAAAGTATTTTTTATTATATTTTTATTATTAGTATTTCTATTACTTTTACTTTATTATAATTTGATGATAGAATTTTTTTAAAAGGTATTGTTGAGTACATATTAAATACCTGAAATTCATGTACCTGGCATGACGAGGCTTTTTAACATCAGGGAAGATTCCATTTTATGTAGAGTTCATAGTTTTGGTCTTAAAGTATCAGGTAATATACAAGGTAATATAAATATAAGGCCAGGAACGCAAACGATATTCAAAAACGTACAAGATTAACTGATGGAGAATACAGCAGTGAAAGTTCGCACGAAAAAAGGTTTCTAAAGTAATTGGTAAGCTAAGATACAAAGGCGAAGTTTGAAACCGTCAGGCAAAAAACAAGGAAAAGTATGGAAATTTAGAAGCAACACGGACGATCCTGGACGGCACGTAGGTCATCGTTTGTGAGGTTTGATGCTGTTTAATTTCACAATTATGCTAAAAATGTACAATAAGAACAAAAAAGAAATGTTAGAATCTCGGAAAGAACATTGGAATTGAAATGGAACAAAGCAGATAAAAAGCGCACTTAAGAAGAATGTCATTGAAATGAAGTGTCCAAAATAAATGATGGTATAGACCGGCGGTAAATAACGGAGAAAAACGCTAAATTATTACCTTTTTTGGTAGAAAATGAACAGCTTTTACGGAGGCATAAGCGAGTGGTAAGCTAAAATGAAAAATGCTGCGACAGTAAGGCAGATTAGGGGTGTTTAAAGGGAACTACTGCTATTTCGAATATTGAGTGAAAATTTGCGGAAAGCGCTGAATACTATGAAGAGATAATGGTTACCCAGTTAATGACAAACTGTTTTCTAATTTTCATCGGCATTCTGGTATTAAAATTGGTAAAAATGTAGATGTCTTGGTTCTCCACAATTAATAAAGGCCTCACTTAAAAACAAAATGGAATTTAGACAGTTATATCTTAAATGGGGTTGAAACTGAACGAGTATGCTACGTTTAAATATTTTGACAAGAGTAATTTACAATTGGCCATTTATAATTGGTTTTATAACTGCCACAAGGTTTAATAATAAGAACAGGGTCCATGGGTGCGGAAGAAAAGTTACTAGAGTAATGAAGAGATAAATGTCTAGGCCAAAGGCTATGTTTAAATATACGTCTCATTCAACCAGATTTAGACTTAAAAAAGCTGTAGAGCAAAACGAAAAAAGAGTTCTGCTCGTTTAACCCAATAAGTGTCAATTGTCCGGGCAATGATAGAAAAAGAAGGGTGGGGTAGCATTCTGTGTGGTCTGCATACTTGATAATTACTTAGTGATATGTATTTTATTATTACTTATATTAGTTAATGATTACCTAAATAACAATCGGAAAGCCCTAAGCAGAGAAAAAATTCTTCATGCAGTCGGGGCCACAGCGGGGTTAGACTGCAAAATAGATTGAAGATTCGCTCAGTATTTATGTTTTAAAGATAATAATAAGCACCCGTAAGTAACAGAAATACAATAGGTAATTTGATTAAACAAGCTTATGCTGTTGATTGATGTTGTTATGAGTTATGTCGTTTGTTAATATGGGTTATGTCGTTCATTTTTTCCTCTAATTCAACTTTAATTCGAATGAAAAAAATTATTCTTTAGTACTGTGCCGTAGATAATTATAATTCTAACTGGAAAGATAAAAATCACCTCGCTATACGACATATGCACACACTCTCTGTGTGATAAAAAGGAAGTTCATTTTACTAGAAATGCTTCAGAAAATTACATCCGACTTGATCACATTTTGCTCGTATACAGATTGAGCCTCTGTATTCATTAAAGAATAGTAAACATATTATTTATTATAAACAAGGTAAGTTAGTAATAGTTTAACATGTATGGACTACATATGGACGCATATTATCCAATTAATGTGTAATGCTTAACCGTATTGATATAAAAACTGAAGCTTTTGAGATAAGATAAAAGGTATGTTAAAAAATGTTTTCAACTAAATAACATATTCAATTAGCAAAGTAAAGGTTGACGTAGGCTATAAGATCACTATGGTACTGGTATTGTGTCGTTTACTTTTTAAAAACTAATCTGTTTTGAGGATTCTAAATTGATCACCCTGCTTGCATCAAAATGCTAGCACAACAGTTTTGTCGAAAGCCTGCTTTTTGCAAATGACATTTACCATAATGTCACCGCAAATTTTTTACTGAAATTGCTGTTTTATAAATTGAAATAACATACTAATAAATGTTAGAAAAGTTATCTTTTTTCTTGAAAGTGATCATTTCGCACTATCTGCCGATATTAGATGGAGTTACAGAAATTTATATGTGGTAAAAGATATTTGTCTTTATACTGTTCTATATAAGGAATCGCACGTTTAGGCAGTTTATATAGTTTATTTAAGTACTACAAAGGTTTCATTTACTGATTAAGTCTTGAAGCAGTTTGAATAGCGATGTATGAAAGCCGATAAAGTTTAACGAGTTGGCGGTACTTCTTCGTGGGTAACACGCGATCAAACGGTAAAGTTGCTACGCAGATTCTTAACAAATTGCGCATCAAAATAACTACAGTAGTTAATAATAGTAATTCCATCATTGCCTACATTCTTGCTGATATATTTTGTCAAAATTTTGTTTCATTCCTCACCCTTGAAAAAACATTTTGCAAGACCACTAAGATATGCATATCAAGATTTCTTAACACTGTTTTAAACTTTAAAAGTCGGTCTGCATTTGGCGTGTTAAAAAATAAAAAAAGACTATTCTTTAAAGTAAACCCTTCGTTTATGCTTGTACCTTTTCACAGAATTGGAACAAGATTTGTCAAAAAGCCTTCGTTTTTGCGGTGGTAGCTCTCTATAATTTTTACTTTTTGTTTGAAAATTATACATATTGCAAATGTTACACTTAAACATTTTTTTTTATTAAACACGTATAAGTGATTATTGAAAAATAGATTGCAAGCAATCCAAATGTCTTACAGTAAAATGTGATGTTTGACATTGTGCTACGCACGAAGCTATTCCAAGTTTATCAAGAACAAGATTAGACAACGGTTTTAAAGGTTTTTCTAGTGTAATACTAGAAAAACTTGTTGAGCCTGGATCTAGTATCTCAAACACCTATTCTGTGATCGAAACATGTATTGGAATGAACCTGACATGTACATGTCTTTGCACACCTACCTTGTACACGGAAAGCCTGCACAAATGTCGCAAGTAAGTTTCTTATTCACAACTGATGCTCTTGCAAGTCGAAAGTCTTCACTGCCGATAGGGTGGGTAGGGCGTCGGGTTCTAAATAATGATTTTTCACAAATACGATCTGATAGTAATTTTATAATGCCTAATATGTTGAGAAGTAATATTAGCTTTGGCTTCTTATTTTTTAATACGATTCTAAGTGTGATAACAGCGCATTGTGCATATACATCAAGAAATCGCACCCTAAGCCAGGATAAAAAAAGATTTCTACATTACATGTTTTGCGTCCAATTTTTAAACAACATTTTTTTTTGTTTTGTTTGTATATCAAATGAATGCTATTTTTAATCTAAATGTTTCTGAGGAGACAATAAAACAGAAACAAGGTGATCTTTTACTCGCTCAAAGGAAGTCTAGTGGTTATAGATGATTCATTTGATGAGACCAAATATTACTTTTTTGCAAAGATTTGTTACGAATGTTAAGGTTCTGCTGATATTCTTATATTTCAATGTACATTAAATGTGACACCATAACAATAATGTACTGTTGTATCTCGCGCATAATAAATATGGTTTATCTTAGTAACTAACAAAGAAAACATAACCACAAAGGTGGTAACATAGTAACAATAACCAGGCGTTTCGGTGAAAATCAATGGCCCAGTAGCAGCACTAGGAACGGCCAGGGAAAAGTCTCTCTGCGCAGTTTCATTGCTTGTGTTG